GAAGAAATAGAATCAAATATTAAAGTATCAGATATTATTTATGATGATATTATTGAAAGTTTAACGATTACGAAATTTAATAAGGATGACATATTAAACGCCTTAGGAGGATTACAAAGATATCGAAAAATGACAAAACTCATTTGCAATGGTACTTCAATAACTATCCTACCAACCTTACCCAACTCCTTGACGGTACTCAGGTGTTATGACACTAAAATAAATAGCTTACCAACATTACCCAACTCCTTAACGGAACTTAAATGCTCTAATACTAAAATAACCATCCTTCCAACTTTACCCAACTCCTTAACGGAACTTGATTGCTCTGAAAATCCAATAAATATCCTACCAACTTTACCCAACTCCTTAACGAAACTTTATTGTTCTGTCACACAATTATCTATCCTACCAACTTTGCCCAACTACTTAACGGAATTTGATTGCTCTGAAACTCCAATAACTACCCTACCAATATTACCCAACTCTTTAACGGTACTCAGGTGTTACAACACTAAAATAAAAAGCTTACCAACATTACCCAATTCCTTAACTTATCTTGATTGTTATAATACACCAATAACTAACCTACCAACATTACCCAACTCCTTAACGGAACTTGATTGCTCCAATACTCGAATAACTATCCTACCAACATTATCCAACTCCTTAACAATTCTCCGGTGTTTCCGTACACAAATAAAAAGCTTACCAAATATACCCGATTCCTTAACAAAAATATACCCCGAATCATTAAAATCTTAAATACGACAATAACAACTTTATGCGTTTTATATATCAGATTTATCTTTTCCTTCTTTAATGTTCTAATGACCCGTCAAAATCTGAGAATTCTTCCAGGCAAATGTAATATAATAAAAATCCCGGTAATTTATGTTTTATCCTTTTTTATAAGCGAATTTCAGAAAATTTGCTACTATTACTTTTAGACAATTTGTAATATTACTTTAATTAAAGAAATTTTCAGCAACATATATATGCTCTTAATGATTTAAACATTTTACATCAACTAATGAATTTTATACGCCCAATCGGGATTTATAAGAATTTTGATTTAAACATTAGAAAAGAATATCGAAATTTAATTCGCCATTTTCAATAGAATTAAATTATGTTATATGCGGTTTAGGGTTTCTCTTGATTACAAAAGATTCACCTCTAGCACAAATTAAAACGTTTTTATACCCTTTTCTTCAAGAATGATCAAAAATACAAAATTCTAATTTTCTAAAATATTTATGGCATACTACCGCCGTATCGAATTCTTAATAAGTTAATTTTTACTTTCAAAATGTTTCACATAAATGTTTAAACTTTGTTCGAAACTTTACGGAGAAATGATTGATTCGAACTTTACAAACATAAAACTTACATTGAATGGATTTTGCTTTGGATGAAATAACCCAAAAGAATGGTTTTTTATTCATTTAAATTTCAAATTCTGATAATTAACTATTGTCAGTACAATTTGACCGAGACTTTTATTATAAAAAACAGACAATAATTATGACATTAATAGTTGCAAAGCACAATAACTTATAATTATTGTTCAAACCTATTCATAAATGCTTAGTTGGTAGTCAAGTTTATATTAAAACCGTAGATATTTTAAAAATTTAAAAATTATTTAATTGAATATAAAAATTGGATATTATTTACATTTGTAATGTACCACTCTAAAGAAAGTACTTTTAATTATTTGCGACAATGGTTCATAAATAGGAGAGATTTATATAGATACAAACCCGTATTATCGTTTAAAATACACGGAACATTGCAAATATCAGGTATTATAAGATGTAAAATTTATGCACCCTAATTAATAACTCACACGCGGTAGCTCCTTTATTATAAGCAACTAGTTATTTAGAAATGGTTTTAAATTCAATATTTTATTAGAGTCGGTTCCAAAGAAACTCAATCGGATCGGACTGTTTTATCCCTATTCGAAAATAACTAAAAATAATTAAAACTTCAATTAAAAGCGAAGAGCCCGAGATCGTAATATTATCATGTGTAATTAATGCGGGTATATTACAAGTATAATTTAATTAAGCTTTAAAAATATTTATTTATTTGATCTACACAGTTTTGAAATAGAGTTTCGGATTTAAAGCCGGATACGATTTTTAAAAATTAAATAAATCCGGAAATAAAAACAAACCCGGTTCCAAAAATAAAAAGCAAAAAAAAAAAAAATCGTTTTATATATTCTACATTGTGATGCAATAAACCTGTCATAACCGTCAGACTCGCAAATTTGTTATCGAAACTTTCGAGACCCATCGAAACTATCGAAACTGTCGAAAAAATTTCTAAAATTTTCAACTTTTACCATAATGGGTTTTAGGGTAATTGCCACTGCGTACAATATGAACAATACTCATATAATAATGGTTCAGTCTGGCAACACATATGTCCCCGATAAAGATCAGGTGAACAGATGCATTTTTCAAGCCTTTTCACCGAGCTTGAGTGTTTCTCACTAGAAAAAGGAGCTGAGAAAGCAATATTACTGAAAGCTGAAATGACGATAATAATCATGAAAATGTGAATTTTCATGATAACTTTGGAAGTATTTGAAGGATTAATAACTCAAATGTTTTTATGTGAATTTTATAAACAGATTCTTGTGGGAATGTAGCTTAAAGGCGTGTATTTATAAGTAAATCAGATTAGAGTTACAATTTAATTTATTTGAAGTCTATTGACAATGTGATAACAAAATTTCCTCACTTTATATAGTTTTTTTTAAGTATCAGGCTTACTGGGCTTATCCTTTAGAAACTTGTATTTGCTTGCTATAGATTCTCATAAAGAGCGTTACAACCTTTACAGCCTCTCAAATGCTGTAATAAATATTTGCAACCAATCACGCCATTGTAATCCTAAATATAATAAAAATTTAAGCTATTGTAATATATATAATGAATATAATTCTCCACACAGACGATAATTTGTCAACACATCGTTCATGTTGATTTTAGTTAGACTATGAGGATCAATTCCGGCCAGTTCGCATACAGGATATTGTTGTTGTAATCACATTGTTTGCTGTAACTAAGCAAGAGGCTTTGGTAATGTAACTAAGCCAAGAAGCATTGGCAATGAAACTAAGTAAGAAGCTTTGATAACATAACTAAGCAAAGAGGCTTTAGAAACTAAGCCAAAATGCTTTTGTAACGGTACCTAAGCCCCATATTAATAAATTAAAATTCCTTTTTTATTTCAATAACAAATTATATATTTCGATATATAGTAAATAATTAAATAATGGATACTGTTTACGTCTAATATAATTCCGCCCGAAAGATCATGAATTAATGAATTGTCGATCGAATTTAAAAGAAAATCTTTTATTTTTGCAATGAATACATACAGTATTCATGTTACTATTGCACGAAATACTGCATTTCAATTGTATTGCATCCATTTCATGCTAAGTCTATGGTTGATTTTCTATAAGATTTTTCCAAATAAAGTTCAAATCAAGGAAAAGGTGTAGTCAATTAACAAAATTTTATCTCGGTAAATTTTAACTTCTTTCAATCGTTCGAAATCGAAAAAATCGAAAAAAAAAAAATTTATAACGTATTTATATAGAATTAATTCGTAGTATATACTTTATTATTGCAAAATAATGGTAAAATTTAATCGATTCGATTATTTCAATTGTTCTCGTAAGATATAGTTAAATAGATAAATCTTTAAAGATGATGCTGAATCAACAATTCAAGATTATATTTCGAACTTCAGATCCAAGCACGATAAAAATGTATTAGAGGACAAAATTAAAACAATTCTATACAAATACAATGAACACTATTTCAGCCCAAGCTAGGAAAGAAATTGAAAATATTGATGTGGGAAATCCCGTTAAACAAAGTCCACTTGTTCCTTCAGCTGCGAAAAAATTTCTTTAATTAGACCTTAAATTAAAAAGTTAAATTCTGATCCATGGAATGCTTCATCGAATTCTTTCATTTGAATATTATTATTATTATTTAAACTTTGCACTGTTAACTTATTTTAGTGTATAAACTCACTCTTTCTTTTGATAGTTCGATTGTTAATAAATAATTTGAGAAGAGATTTTTGGATGCGTTCATTAATCATCATGGAGCGGAAAATGCTTCGACTCCACACCTTTCTGCTATTTTCAAAATTTTTTTTTAAATTGGTGAGAAAAGAGAGAGGAAAGTTTTGTATCATCTATATATTTTAGATTGTAATTAATAGTTTAGTTTAATTCGACCAAATAGAATTTTTTAATTGGTCAACTTTACGTAATTAGGCCTAAGGCATATCCATCTCCACCCCGCTGTCCAAAACTTATGGAAGCGAATCAACTCGAAAAAAAAGAACTAAATAGAGCAAAATTTGAAAAAAAAAGAAATCATCAGTCACTGTGTCCTAAAGCAATCCAATAATACTGTAAATAATAATAATTTAATAAAAAAAACATTACCTTGCGAACCATCCCGAAAGAAATTATCAAACAAAAATATTTATTGATAAATAAAATTAAATAAAATACTTATGTGGGCAACTTAACCATCGAAATCCGTCGAATTTTCAAAATTATCTTGAAAAGTTTTGAAAAATAAAAAATATTTTTATTAGTCGAATTGCAAGTTGCGAATTTTGTTATAAAAAATAAATAATGAAAACAAACAAATTTAAAAAGTAATAAAACAAACCCTCTTCTTCGTCTGATTTAGACGGTGTGGGCGCAGCGCCGAACCGGGTAATTTTTCAAAAATCAAAAAATAAAAAATTTTAAAAAAATCAAAAAAATAAAAAAAATGGAGCGCGAGTTTTTTCCATAAAAATTTTTAGAAGTGTCGAAAATTAATTTTTGAAGAATATATTTTTAGAATATTCTCGTCACAGTTTTAACGAGTCTACCACGAAATCCCGACATACACAATCCCGATATGGTAAAATATCGTTCCCAATATTGATGATATCCTGAAAGACTAGAAACCCGGAAGTCTCATATCCAGAATGATTAATAATCCTGATTGATCAAGTTGCCGACAATTATCATAAGTTTGAGTCTTCTCTAGAGATTTCGAGAAAATTATTTCGATGGTTGAAATTTCGTTTTTTGATTTTCCAAAGAACTTGCTGTTGAAGCTTGAAGATTTACTTCTAATTCCCGTTTCAAAAAGAACGGATGAAAATACATGTAATTAAACGATTCTGGGAACTTGGGAATAAATTGCTTGCATCAAAAGTTCTTGCAAAACTTTATTAAAAAAATTCGGAAAATGTTAAAATCCATTTGAATATTTTGTATCATCAGAAACCTGGGAGAAAATTTAGAATTTATTTATGAAAGCGTTAAACAACAACATGATCATTGGCACTACTGATTAATATTTTGCCGCAATAATAACAGCATAAAGACATATGTGCCGTCATTTCAAATTAATAAAGAAAATGATCAAAAAAACATAATAATATTTTCATGATTGACATAATAATGCGCAAATTGTTAAACCACCGCGATATTATAAATGTTCACATGGTATGAAACACTTTTCAAAGTAAAAAAATAAACCATAGCAAATTCTCGATTTTGAACCATTCGGGATATAAGACTTTTCGGGATTCTAGTCTTTCGGGAAACATTCACTATTGACAAATCCATGATCAAAGAATATGAGAGATTAGAAGGAAAGCTATTTATGTAAAATAAATTTTGTAAAACATAATCATTAAACTTACAGAACTAAGCCAAGTAACATTCATTTATCGATCAATGAAGTTTATGTTACACCAACCTTATAAGAAACGTTTATTTTATAAACCCTTTTAAGCCATTCTCATAAACGCCCAAGAAAATAAAAATTTATTTTTATATTTGCACAGATTCACTTGAAAATTATTTTCATATAAATAAAAAAAAAAATTAATATTTCACATCATGGCATATCTAGATGAAAAAAGCAAAACTAAATGCGAATGTTCTTGAGATATTTATTTAATATTATCCCAGGAATGATCAATGTCATTGTTTTTGTGGATTTAATGCACCTCATCTTCATTGTTTCGATTCATTTGTTTGAGTTTTATCAAATTCCTATTTATGATCACAAAATTTGGTAAGTGAATCATTTAATTATGCAACGTTGCTTTGTATTTGTCGCACAAGATTCTTAATATTTTTTTAATATTGATAAATAAAAAAAATAAGTATATTTATTTTAAAATTGCAGATAGGGACAATTATTATACAATATAATATAAATCTGCGGAATATAAAAAATACAAATTTAATTAAGGTGAGGTGGAAATGAAATAAAAGTTTCCGATTGTAAGTTCAATAGCATCCTATGCTCGACAAATCACAAGCATCCCCGAATAAATCAACCCACAATGTGTTATACCCGGTAAAAATTCATAGAAATAACACGAGAATTGTCACTATCAAACCACATATGGAAAACCATTTATGTAACTTCCTCATCCTTTTCCATTTCTCAACGAATTTTCTTATGCTTTTCCATTTCCCAGTTTTCACAGACACGATTAAATCACTTTCCTCAGACATGATTAAATCACTTTCTCCTTTTATATGGTAAATATAAGCCAAAGCACTGTTAAATGACCAGATTGAGCAGATTACTGTTACATATTTGCTGCGACAATAATTTCCAACCGGAGGTGTCAAGTAGACGATAAGTACTGTCATCCAAGGATAAACTATTGATAATAAAGCAGTTATCGTGACGGTCGCAAGTTTTCGAAATAGAAATTCATCTATAGGATTATCATCCACAATAATTTCTATATTTTTTTAAAAACATCTTTAGGATCTTTAACTACTTGAATCCCGTATATTCCTCTTTTCCAAATTGAGATGAGGGTCTAGGAAATAAAAAAGACAAATATGCCCAAGGCTTACAAACGACCGTTCCATTATCATAGAAAATCCTTCCTTTACACCAATTATTATGTAGTATGATGTAATCAATAAAGAAACTCTTTCTAGCATGGGTAATTTTGCTGTGCATTGTTTTACGTATTCCTTTATATCTTTTTTATTTTCAGTTTCATTGCATAAAATCCAAAAGGTCTGTATTTTGGATGACGGTCTGTTCCTTTGTCATTTGAATCTTCGTTGTTTTTTAACTTAAAATAATTTGCTGAAAGCCAAAATAAACAGCAAGATTCTTTTTCACCTCCTACGTTGAGGGAATGAAACAGCCCATCAAAGGGACACCCAAAGCTTCGAAAGAACCACATCAACTTTTCGCAGAAATCATAGGGTGAATCTCCCATAATTGCAATGGTCGAGAGACTACTAACAATGTATTCAGGTACAAAATCTAATACTCCCATTAGATAGTATAATGCAATGGAGAGGTGAGTGTTTCCAACTTTTTCTAAAAAAAAATTTCGCTTTTAATAACAATGAACTTATAATGATCAATAACATTAAATGAGAGCTCGTCAGTAAAAAAAGAAGGATCTAAATTTTTCATTTTAGTTCCTAAACTAATTTTAAGCACTTGACTGTGATCAGTCAAGTGGACCAATAAAAAAAATTTTTATCAAAATTTAGATTTCCCTTTCTATTAGCTAGCCCCAAATAGTGATTCATTATCACAAACAAAACACAAACACAAAAAAAAAAATAATAATTTAATATATTTTTAGGCGATTTGTGTAACACCAACGACCAGGCATTATTATATAACACTAACACTAACTCTGATACTAAAAGGTAGAGGATAAGTTAGAGGAGGAATCTACCTCAAGGAATAAGGGTTGTTTAAATATTTTTTTGTTTTGTTTAAAAAAAGAATTGATTTGCCGCAGCGGCACAGTCAGTTGCATGATGAAATTGTTATTTATTTTCTAATATTTTGTATTGTCTATTCCTATCGTTGATTAATAATAAATATTAATAATTATTGATTTTATTTTTTCGATTTTTGATTTTATAGGTTAGATCGATAGTTCCGCCACTTTGGTTCGTCACTACGGCGCCGTCAGGTGGGTGACTTTTTTATTATTAAAAATCAAAATCTAATGGCTTTTTTCGATTTTAGTTAGGGCCGATTTCCGCCCTTTCGGACGAACGTGTGCGCAGCACTTCGAATGGACCCTTCGGCTAGGGATTGGTATCGATTCTAATAAAATCGAATTAATAAATTTAATATAATTTATATTATTTTAAATAAAATTTTTTTATTTTTTAAATTTTCAGTAATTGTCTTTTATATCTGCGAATTATATTTTTTTTTATAATCGCGGATTTTAATTTTTAAACTTTTTATTAATCATTATCTTTATTTTATTTATTTACTAATTTTTGGATTCGATTATTCCATTTTCATTTTCAATGTTTTTAAAATTATTTTTTTATTGATATTTATCCTCTTTCGGCTTTGCAAATTTTTTTTTTTTTATAATAATTTTTCATTTTTACTTTTTGGTTGGATCACATTTAGAAGGAAAAGGTTTAGTTTCAATCGCATTGTGCAGCGTTTACTTTATAGATTCCTTCATTGGGTTGATCACTTCAGTAAACAAAGGTTAAGTCCTTTCTTTGTTTTTAGATTTATTTTTTTATTTGATAAATAATGAACAGAGGTGGTGGAGGGTGTAGTCGCACTTACTGTGCCAATAAAAAAATGATTCCATTCCTAGCGGAGAGTACCAAGAAACTGTCATCTTAAATAGAATACTTATTCAAATGGTTTAATGAACCGGCCTCGAATAAATATTGGTTCTGGTACGAAATCTTAAAGCTTGAAAATCCCGAAAATAGTTTTATATTTTTGACATCGAGATAGAACTATAACGTAATACTAAACCGCCCATACTATATTTGATAAATGAATTTTTGAAAAAGTGCTTTTATATTAACGTTAAGGAGGCCTAATTTATCTTTAATAAACGTATTGCATAAACCTTTTAACTGTTCTTTTATTTTTTATTTCAACAAAATAAAAAATATTATAATAAATTTGATTTGTTAAATTTTTTATATTTAATTTTTTAGTAATATATTTATTTTCGGTTTTCGTAATATATTGTATCTTTTTTATATTCGCGAAATTTTTTTTTTAATTGTTTCTTTATAATCGGGTTTTAACCTTTAAAATTTTTCTTAATTATTTTTCTAATTTAATTTAGTAGCAATGACCAATAATTCAAAGTTAAAATCTCGTCTTCGATATTCACCTATTCTTGGATGCATTGTTGGATCAGTGTTTCCTATAGAAGAAACAAAAGTCAATGTATATGAAGATATATCCAATACAATTGGTAAAATTAAAAATGAAAAAGCTATTGCTAGAGATGTTCAGGCTTAATATTAATGTTTTATCTTAATTTAAATTTTTTTTTTTTATACCACAATTCTTTTTGATTAGTATTTTATTTATTTTATTGATTATTTAATTCTACCCCCCCGCGACTTGAATTTTATTTTAAATTTAATTTAATTTATTGATTGCAATTTTTTCAATTAATTATTTTAATTTAAACTTTTTTTAATTTAATTTTAAATGCCGGCAATTTTTTATTTATGCTTTTTTTTTATAATTCGCTCGTTCTAATATTTAATTTCATATTTTTTAATTATTTTTTAATTTTATTTTCGGATTAATCTATTAAGCATCTAAATTCGATTAATCGAAAATCGAAAATCGTCGAATCTTGAGAATAATAATTGATAAAATACAGCTTATATTGTACTACCAAACACAAAAAAATGTTTCATAATTATTTTTTAAAGAATGAAACTGCTCTTTAAAGAATAAAAAATTAATATAAAGAACTAATAAAGCACTACTATTTCCAAGCTCTCTATCTAAAACAAGAGATTTAAATAAAACAAAAATAGAAATGAAAATAAGTAAAAAGTTTTACTTATTACAATGGTATAAATTGTTATAAATCTCTAGAATCTCTAGGAATCTTGGGAATCGAGAATCCGTATTTAGTAATCGGTTTATAAGCTATAGAATATAATTATAATCTTATATATATGGAACCTTTGCGAAAAAAAAATCATTTTAAATTTTATTTAGCATTAACTCATTTTTTAACATTTTCTGATTGCTTTTCTCTTTTCTATTACAAAGGTCCTATATATAATCACAATTTTCAGACCAAACGAAATTACGCAGTAAATTTCAATCTGAAACATTATTATTTGAAGTTTAAACCTTCTAATAAGAATAACTATGTGTGGTATTCTTATCCATTAAGTAAGTGACTATTTTTTTTTATCAATATAAAATAATTTTTTGAGGTACACTAAAACTTAAAACTCACGAAGCTATAGAATTGTCTTTAATTTCTATTTTATATAAGTTGTCAAGGATATTCTTGATTTATGAAATAAAAACGATATGAAAGAATATAAAAAAATTATTATAGTACAAAATAATTCTAAAAATTATTCTATACTTTATACTTACGGCGATAAAGCCTGACAAATCACCACTTGTGTTCGAAACAGGAACTTCTTATGTAATTTTTAATAGAATGATCGTTCGTTGATACAAAATCAAATGTGTCGTTAAATTCTTACAATCTTAAGTTATATATATCTGATTTTTTAATATGAGGTCTTACACTACGCGATACTTTAAAACAAAAATCTGATCCTAGATATGAACATTCAAAATCTGCTAATTACATCATATATAATCGAATGCAAAAATGAAGTATGAATTATAAAAAAATTAAGTGATAAAGTTATAGTAATTAATCAATTTACGAAAACGCAATTATATAATGTAACCAATAGATCGTATTTGAGCAAATTTTCTATTATCTTTCCCATTTGAAAGTAATCGTGTTGTTCCTTAAAAAAATTCTAAAAGTTTAACTATCTTCATATTCAAGAATAAGCGAATAAATTGTTTCACCTAAATGAATAAAAAAAAAATTTAAATTTATTAAATAAAATAATTACAATTCATTCCCATTATTCCTATCAAATAAATTTAGAAGAATCCAATAATGTCAAAAGTTTCATTAAGTATGCGACATCAATATCTCAGCAAACTTTAATTATAACTATCATAATCTTTGAACGTAGCCGAGCTGAATGAAATTAAAATAATCCATTGGTGACGCAGCTGATATGCTTACTGTATATTGTGTTCATTAAAATTGAGCCATTGTAATCGTACCGTATCTATAATATTAATGACCATACGCATTTTAATTTGGCATCATCTTCTTTATTCCTTTAAAAAATAGATTGCAGTGTAATGTAAAAAAATAATTTTTAGGAATTTTCTTATATCACCAACCTAATCTAGTTTTAAAAATAAAATTGATGTGAAAATAAAAATTTGGTAAAAAAAAATAGAAAGAAAAAAACTAAAATTGTGACACTTTCGAACCACAAAAAATTTTTCTGGCGTAAAGAAAAATAACGGCTTTGCTGAAAATAAAAAATAATTTTTTTAACAAAATGTCTTGTTTACATTTCTTTTAAAAAAAAATAATGTTTTGTTTAATATAAACCGTATTAAAGGAATAATCTTTAAAGTAATTAAATCGAAAATTGACATGATAAAAACATTCATACCACCATAATCGCTCTTTGCAGAAAAAACAAAGCAAAATCTAAATTTAAAATATGCAGGCTGTAAAAATTGCATGAATCATTTCTTGTAAAAAATTCTTTATTTAATTTATGATTAAAACAATAAACATTTTTAATGATATTTAAAAGAGAAATAATAAAATTTGTTTAATACAACCTGCCCTGCCCAAAGATCATTAGCTAAATTAATATAAAGATTTTTATTTTAATAATTTTTAAATTATGAATTGAATTCGCATTTGAAGAAGTGTATAAGTAAATAATTATCAAAAACATTAAACAGAAATTAAACGACAATAGAATTAAAGAAAATGAAAATTAGATAAAAGTTAATAAAATCGAAATAAAAATAAAAAATAAAAATAAAAAACGAAATGGGATGGATAACATGAACGAATAGATGACCAGGAAAAGTATGGGTGAATAAAGAGAATGAATAATTAAAAGGTGCCACGATTATAATGTTACGAATTTTTTTCGTAAATTTTTGTCATCCACATAATATGGACGACACAAAAAATTACTTCGCATTATTGTTCGCTAGCATTTATACCAGGAAAGCTATTCTAATGCTTTTAACCTCAATAGAACTTTAATCTGAAACGAGAGGACCAGTGATAACAACTATTACAAATTATTTTTAACGCTTTTGAAATGTGAAATGTCTGATCTTAAATCTGAAATACCGATAGGATGAGATACTGTAAGTCCACAAATTTTATGTTGAATATTAGCCACTTCTTTCCATTTCAGCTCTTGCACG